GGAAGCCGCCCAGAGTGGCTGAGGAAACCCAGCCAGATGGGCGGGGTATAAATAATAAATTATTATATTATTATAGTATGTGTGCCTCCTGCAGATGCAAATCATATACTCCTTGGCTCCTGCTAGTGCCTGCTATGTGGAATTATATCTTTACAAGTGTTTCTAAAGAGGACCCTTCAGAGCTCACACATCTTCAGGGATTTGACTTGCAAGATTGGTAAAAACCCTCCTTTATGCAAGTCCACTGCCTTCTTTCTAGCTCTCTTTCCACACTATTACCTCCTCCCCCCACCCACATAAAGAGCTTCCGACAAGCATCACTCAGAGCCTCTCTTCTGCAGCCACATGCAAAATTAGATATTTCAAATGAGAGCAGGCAGGGAGAACAGCAAAAGCTTTTCCTTTTCTACACAGAAGCAATTTTACTTCAATAAAAGATAAAAAAAATTGCAGAAGATGCACAATAAAGGGAGTTGCACTCCAGGGGTCTAATATTCTATACCTGGTAGAATACTTGTTTTGCACTGACTATTCTTGCTGAAGATTTTTGTTCTGTTTTTTGCTTCTCAGCCAGATAACTGAAAAGAGCCTCTCTTCTGAAACCATTTAGAATTGCCAACAGAAAGCAATACGAAAAATTTGTTTGTGCTGCTATTTTAATCTGCACAGAATGTGCTTGTCTGAATGCTTCCCCAAGAACAGACATAGTGGTTCAGCATGCAATTGATGGACATCCTCTGCCCTGAAAAAGAAATTCTGAGCTGGAGGCCAGCAGATATTTTGAAACCAGTGCTGTTCCAAAACATGTCTTCCCCATTTCCTCTTTCATTCCTGGGAAAGAGACTTCATTTTTTCCTGCCTATTTCTCAGAGCATTTTTGAAATTCTTTAAAATTTTAGTGGGTGTGATTAATTTCCCTAATCATTGTGAGGTGGCTACGAGTAGTCTTCTTCTTCTTCTTTTTCTTCTTCTTCTTCTTCTTCTTCTTCTTCTTCTTCTTCTTCTTCTTCCCATTATACATTGCAGTTGTGCTCTGAAATCTTCCTGACTGACTGCACTTCCTGAAAACATCTCATGCAGAAATTACTTTACGAAGTCCTCATCCACTGAAGCACAGGAAGCTGGGTACCAAAAATCTGAGATTGAGACAGTCACTCATTTAGTTTTCAGGGGAAGTCCTTAAAATCCTGTTCTTCTGAAATAGCTTGTGCAGAACTGCTCTAAGGATCTGTGTTAGAACACAGTTCTAAAATTTAGTACAAACATTCTTTTAAATGTCATAATTCTGTTCCCTTGCTTTGCCCTCAGACTGATAATTGCATCTTTTAAAAAGTGTGGTAAATTTAAGCAACTAAATAATTAGACTTCACATTAATCTTGAATACTCACAAACCACACATTCTTCCTCAAATAACATTCATTTCAAAATAAGACTTCTTGTTCAGTTTAATTACCTTGGCAAAAACTGGACTAACTGAGGGTTGTATACACTTTGGTATTCCTCTGCTGACAGGAGACTCTTTGAACCACCAGAGGGTTCCATCAATGGAATAAAGAGGAAGGGGATTTGTAATGGGTTTAGGGGTTGCTCGTGCGTAAGTTGCCGCCACTCCTGGCTAGGTTACCTGGTTAACCCTTTCTGACTGAGCAGCCTCCAGCATCGTGACTGTCTCAGTCGCTGGCAGAATCCGTCAGTGGGCGTTTCTTAAACCTTTTCCAGCATAAAAGTTGTTTGACGCCAAGTCTCCTCCTACTCTCCCTGCGAGGAAGTCTTCTGCGCAGGGAGGGTGTGGGCAGTGGAGTACCCGTACTCTCTCCGCTGGTCTCCAGCGAAGAGTCTTGGAGCCTCCTCCCCGATTCCCCCACCTGCCCCCCTTCTCCACTGGTGTTATGCTGATTTCCTTCCCCAGCAGATGGGCTGCCTCTCTCCCTACTGGGACCCTCTCCTGCATCCCTTTGGAGCCTTCCCTCCGCCTCTAGCTCCGATGGCAGTTCCCTGACAGGATTTTTTGCCAATTTCCCCTCCTACCTGTAGCCTGCATATTACTACCCATATTGTTTCAAGTAATTTTCCAGTGCTTTGGGACAGAATAGGACAGGGAAAATAGGGCCCCATAGAGTTCATCAAAAATTACTTCCCTCCCTGGAGCATTGACAAAAGCCTCCACTGAATCAAAAATGTCTCACATCAGTAAAGGGACATCCTTAGGTACATCTTGAAATTCACCCATCAAAATATATCCTCAAGAATCTTCCCCACTAAATAAATATTCTTCATACATGGTGCAAAGCAAAACAAAACTGAGGCAGAAGCCTTAGAAAGGTCCTGACGTGCTTGGCTAGCTCAGCCTTGTCCAACCTGGGGCTCTCCTTAAGTTTTGGATTACAATTCCTATCTGATCCAGCCAGCTTGCACAGCCCATTTTCCCCTCCCCTTGGTTGCCCCCAAAAGCCTGTCCAGAGGAAAGGGGACTTCTTGAACAGCATGGACTATGTCATGTGGGACTATAGTGCCAGGAGGAAGGGACCTTGAATGAATGGGAGTCTGTTGCTACATGATCCCTCCACTCAGTTTCAGGTACATCCTCTATCACATTGCAGTTCCAAAATGACTCGGCCTATAAGGTTCAGGTGGTTCTCCTGGAGGACCTCTGGAGATGTTTTGGGAAACTGCAGGGGGAGAACATCAGTTGCACAAGATGTATTACACTTGCACGAACATAGGATGCAACCTGTTGGACATACTGTATATTATATAATCTGTTTAGTTTCAATCATGCTGGAGCACGAAGTGCTTCCAGACTCTTCATTGATTACTAAAAGGCATTATTGGTTTATGTCAATATTCTGCACTTACAGCTCTGTATATGTCTTGTTACTGAGTTATGGTTATTAATCCTTTACTGCATTACCTGCTCTAGATCAACACCAAAGCTTGGCCTTTGGATACTTTAGCCATTCTGCTCCCCTGTTGGTGAGTGGTCCATGGTCCTGATGTGTCAGTTGACTTCTAAGCTATATCATGCCTCCCAACATTTTTTGGCTCTGTGTACATTAATGATAAAGGAAACACATTTTTATTTTTAAGTATTATTCACTTAGATTTCTTAACATGTCTTTTGGCAGGCGTCAGACAAGAATGCTTATTTATAACAAAAGAATGAAGGCAATGTTATTTATATGGTAACATTTAATCAAGTAAATCCATACAACAGGCAAAGCAAGCTGCCTTAAAGACTGAGAAACAGCATTAGCGGAACAATGAACAAAGATGGCTGCCTAGGATTTCCAACAAAATGCTTTGCTGTGCAAATCTTATTCAGCCTACAAATGCCACAAGTACAAAGAGCATAAAAACCACATTAACAAAGGTGAGGGCTTTTTCTAATCAAAATATATGTTCGTGTTTTCAGGGGGAAAAATGTTGCTTTCGTTAAGGTATCATCCTAAAGCAGGGCTGATGAACCTTTTTATTCCTTTCAAACTGAGGGCCACATTCCCTTCTGGGCAGCCTTTTGGGGGCCACATGCCAGTGGTGAGCAGGGCCAGAAGCAAAAGTGTGTGCAGAACCAAATGTGAATATTACCTTTGCACAGTAAGCTAGTTTCTGCCCACATTCACACACACCCCTCTGTTCAGGCAAGCGTATTATCAGAGCTCAAGTTCTGTGAACAAAGAAGGAGGTGAACTTGAAAGAGGGTGTGTGGCCCAAGGAGAGTCCTAACGGCCACACAGTGAGGCCTGAAGGGCTGCATTGGCCCCTGGACCTGAGCTTATCCATTCTGGTCCTAGGACCCTTCTGCCCTTAACATTTATAGTGGCATAGTTGCTGATTTTTCTCCAGATTTTCTGGTATGCTGAATTTGCCATTATTTGGCCAGTACTCTGGAATAATGTACTCAAAACCCCACAAAAAGCTGACTGTGAAAGAGCTGGAAAGGATCCTCAATATTTTCATTTGTGTGGCGTGTGTAGAATCATCACCCCTGTTTCTGTGAGGACGGGATTGGCATTTGTGGTTTGAAAGATGTCTGTTTTGTGCCACGTCCCTCTGAGCTGCTAGCTCAGTTCAGAGAAGAGATATGGCAGATATAGAGACCAGTACCAAGTCAAAGTACTGCCCATAGCAGCAGTTACTAACAGCAGACAAAATTTCATCACAATAACTGGGTTCGCCATAGCTCAGGCATGCACATTTTTCCTTTTATAATCTCCCACACTCCCACAAAAATAGAATTCTGGAATACTAGACATTAAATAACCCCTACCCACCCACGCAAAGCTGTGAAAAGGCTGTCCCCACGCAATTGCTCATAACTCTGACATTTACCGGCTGGAGGAATACAGGGGTATGTAAGGGGCGTGATTACAGCCACTGAACTTCTCTCAATTCAGGCACATTTGCATGGAAAAGAAAACTCCACACTCGCTCTCTAATAACAGCAACATATGACCAAGGTGGCAATGAGTTATGAATTCACTTAAAAACATTGGATCAAACAGCAACTATGCTACTATAAATGGTAAGTGCTGAAAGGCCCCTAGAAGCACTAAATAGTAGCCATACACATGGAAAGTAATTGCTCCTACTGTTTTGCAATATCCTTGCTTCCAAAGGCAAAATAAAATATTTTGGCTTAGACTCAGGTTTCTTGTCCCCCCCCCCCCTACTTGATAGATAGCTTTGTAAGAAGCTTTTTGAACTACATGGATAGCTAAATTCCCAATAAACATATATGAGACAGTTTCAAGCTTCTGCAACTGTTTTGTCAATAGGTTTTTTCCCCCCTCCCACTTCCCCCTTCACTAAGGTAAGGGCTAAGCAGCATGGGGGAAAGAAAGGATTTAGAACAGAAAACTATTCTCTTTTAAAAATACTTGTAACTTGGACGTCCAAGTAAACATTTAGAAGAGATGATATAAACATCTGACAGAGATAGGAGAAACAGCATTAAAATGGAAGTGTGTGTCATCAACAGAGATAAGTTAATTAAGATGAACAATAATACCGGGGGGAAAGTCCTCACAATCATTATTTAAGGTAAAATGACGGGTCATGGTTTGCAGAATGCATATAGGTTTCATTGCTCATAATCAAAGACCATGATTTCTTACTCTTAACCATCAAATTTATGAAGAGCCCTTCAAGTCTGGCATACTGTTCTCACCATGGCCAACCAGATGCCTGTGGGAAGCCCACAAGCAGGTCATGATGTCATCCACAAACATAACCACCATACTGCTCATGCCCAATGCTATTCTTCTAGAAATAGAGGTGCTGGAACTCACCATGATGAACACCTCCCTTGTTCTCTTATAATGGCCATGGCGCTCATCCGAGAGGTGCCAGGACTGAGTTCCAGTGAGTTCAGGCCGGGGAAAATCCCTGCTCATCCTTAATCCCAGGTCATTTACAAACATGCTACAAAGCACAGCCCTCTGTACTCATCAGGGGTGTGTGTGTGACACCCCACTTCTTATATCCCTCCATTATGAGATCTGTCGATTAATTTCTAATTTCAGCTTCATTTTCTTTAACCCGTTGCTGATCTATAGGTGGACCTATCCTCTTATCCCATGATTGCCAAGAGTTAGCCTATGCTAGCTGTCAAAGAATGTTTCACTTAATAAGCGTCAGAATGTAATGATATAAGGTACTGGATACATACTTATGGAGAATTACCGTTAGTTCCATTTTTCAAGTAGCTTCAGTATTGGCCTTTTTCTGTGCTACCACACTGAAGTACCTCAACCTTGGAAAAGCACTTCCAGGAGTCATAATTACACTACTCAGTCAGGTCATGGTCTCTGTCATGAAGCTGCCAACCGAACACAGCCTGTAATCTTTCTGCCCGTGCGTGTGTGCTTGTCCATGTGGTGACTTTTTAAAAACCATTTTACAGCATAGTTCAAGCATGGTTTCATGTTCTCTTGAGATAAGGAAGATGCTCCAGAATCCAGATGCTAAAAGATTGTCATTGGCTATCTTCCCAATGACATGGTCTCTGAGGCAGCTCACTCAAAATCTTGGCAATCTGTATTCTACCTCTGAAAACCCAGCAGAAAGTACAGCTTTGCAGTAATATTTGGTAAGTTTGCATGCATCAAAACACCACAGTAATGTGATTGAATCTCATAGGCTTAATTATGTGCTTAAAAAACAAAATATGAACATGCTTATGTAACTTGCTGGAGAGGTCGCTTAAACTGGAATGCCTGCATTATTGGCTGTTGCAATTTAAATACATGCATATGGAGGGAAAAAGAGGAGGAGGAACAAGCCAAACCTGGCTTCTGAATTTGTTTAACGGCTTGAAGGTTATGTCAAGGAACAATCATCACCTGCTCGGTGGTCTAGATGATTGGATTTCTTATTATCGGGGATGCACTGAAGTGTGAAATAGAAAACCCATTGCTCTAGGTAAGAAAGAGAAGGTCTCAGCCTAGGGGAAAGAGTGACAAGCTCTTTAATTATATTAGTAATGGCTGCCAAGAAAGAGCTAGCCAAGGCACTACCACCAGGTAGGCCAGAAGAAAAGTGCGAATTGGTATTGAAAAGCTGTAGTGAGCCACAGGTGTTTTCATCATCAACATTGATCTGCCATTGGTTCTGGAAGACTACCATACATCATGGGAGTTAAGCTGAATTTCTGCACCAGATATTTCCTGACTTTCAAAATGTCATGTGCACTTCTTCAACATCAAGCTTATTGTTTTCACAAAACACAAACAGCAAACTTGTGTAATTGTTATTAATTATTATGCATCTGATTTATATACTGCTCTTGCTCTCTGAGCCTACACAATAATGATAAAGCATTTTTAAAAGCTAAAAATAGTTAAAATATTCTTACTTTAGTTAAAAACATTCTTAAAAAGTTAAACGTGGTCTCAGCCAGTGATTTGAGGATTGCCAGGAACAGCATCTTTCACTGATCAAATGCCTGGGTAAACAGGAATACTTTTAAATTTGTCCTGAAAGTCAGTAATGAAGGAGTCACACACCTCACTAAGGAAAGCATGCCACAAAATGGTAATCACCACTGAAAAGGCCCTGTCAAATCTAATGTTCTGTTTCTCCAAACAAATAGGTACTGTATGTAAAATAGAAATCAATGCGGATATGCATGTGATCAGAAATATAATTTTCAAAAAGGTTCAAAACTAGTCAAAAACTGGCAGTGATTCCTTGCAATATGAAGTACATGTAATTGAAACAAGGGAAAATGTCATTTTTCTAAATAAAGCAAATCAATCCAGTACAAGAAATGCAGCGTGTAGCAGAAGAAATGAAAGTGAGACATCATTTGTTTTGATTCTATATTTTCACATTCCAAATCCATACCCTCCTCTTGTGTGATGATAAGGTTACTACTCAAACTGTTATTTCAGCATAGGCATCATGGTGGGTATCTGTTTTTGAACAACTAATGCTAGGAAGGAAATATATATACACAGAAAGTTATATTTTCTGAATTATTGGTATCACTCAAAATTGTAGAGTGTGAACACAAAGTGGGGATCATTGAAATGTAAAAAGAAGTTATATTTCAGTATCTTTGTCCTAATCCTACTAGTGTCCTTGTCCTACTAAACTTTGTGATCTCAACTATGGTTTTCTGTGATAGTATGGCTCATGGTCTGATTATTTTTTAACTCCTCATAGTAAGGATGCAGCAAATTGTCTGGCTTTGTCCAGGCTTGTTTTCGACTATGAGAATTGTAAGCGAAAAAGATTGAAACAATTATTTTTTAATGGTTGCTCAGGTAGAAAACATTGCCATCTGTTCTGTCAATGAACTGCTAGATCAATCTATACAGTGGTACCTCGGGTTAAGTACTTAATTCTTTCCAGAGGTCCGTTCTTAACCTGAAACAGTTCTTAACCTGAAGCACCACTTTAGCTGATGGGGCCTCCCACTGCTGCCGTGCCGCCACTATGCAATTTCTGTTCTCATCCTGAAGCAAAGTTCTTAACCTGAGGTACTATTTCTGGGTTAGCGGAGTCTGTAACCTGAAGCGTATGTAACCTGAGATACCACTGTATTACAGATGAGGTCTCATACCAATGTTGAAGTGTGGAGTGCTCCTTCTTCAGGATTCCAGCCACTTTATTCCATTCTTCCCATTTTCCATTCTGCCCCCTGACAACAGTCAGTCAGCATTCCATGGTCACCAAATACATTCAATCTTCACCTCAAGGTTCCCCCCTCCCGAAGTTGTTTCTTCTTCTTCTTCTTCTTCTTCTTCTTCTTCTTCTTCTTCTAACCTTGAGGCTCCCTCAAGCTTGATGCCTGTCTCTTATTTCTGTGCATTTTTGGCTCCAAAAGCAACAACACTCGCTGCCTGAACACTTGGAATGGTTTCATTTGCTATATCAGTGCTGCCCACTTATACAATTTAGTCTACCAATGGCATTTCTCTTCTGATTAGTTTCAATGAAAAAGACTCTGTTCAAAAACATTTAATGCTGCAGGGCTTTTTTTTATTTAAGATCTTATTCAGTTCAGCAATTATGATCTGCCCAAGCTTCTATGGACTTTCCTGAAAATGTTACATCAAAACCCTATTAAGTTTTAACGTGTGTTATAGGTTACATTGTGAAAGCATTAAATGGCTCTGGCAGTACTAGCTGATCTTGTGTGAGCAGCAATGAAGGGGAAAGAGAAAAGCTTTTCAGCCTTGCCATGACTATTAAAAGACCCTTTTAATAGTGTGATATCAGAACGGTAAAATACACATTTCAAGCTACGCAGTCATCTAATTAGTTCACCATGTACCCATTTTGCGCTTCTCCTGACACACTTACCTTATACGACACTTGTGAGGCCTTGCTGAAGTTCATGCCTTTAGGGTAGTGACGGCAATAGCCTTCCCCATCTTTAGTGGTAGAATATATACCGTTCTACAAGCTGCTATGCAGTCCATTACTTTGTAACACAGTGTGCAGCAATCTGTTTAGATTAAATAAACTTTGCAACTAAAACCCTGCTTAAAAGGGAATGCATGAGGTTTAAAAAACACCCCAAAACAAATATGCACCCAGCTCTCACATACCTCACTCATTAAAGGATTAAGGAGTTTGTTAGGGTATATGTGCATGAATTAAATCCAGAAAAGGTTGCTGTGTTCCTCTGGACTGATTTTTAAACCCTCTTGATCCAGGGGGTAATTCATGCAAGAAACAGGTTCCCTGTGCAGACTGCCCATTGTGGATCAGATGCCAGAGTTTTCAAATAACATAAACATAGGGAAAATAATTCAGGAATAGCAATTAGTGGTAACTAGCAGTCTACTTAAGGAAAGCTACATGGCAGCTATCCAACCTGTTTCTTTCTTTCTTTTTCTTTAAAAAAGAAAGGGTGTGGTTTCTCCCTGCCACTTTTCATTTTATTTCATTTTTTAAAAAAGTTACATTCTTGACATTGCCCATGAATGAAGAATATTCATTTCCTCCTTTGCCAGCTTTTTGAAATACGATCAGTGTGTGAGGCATGCAGTTGATAATTGAAGTAGACAATGATAAGATTTTCCATTTGCAGGCATAATCACCATATGTATTCTAAACTGGGTGGCGCAATTAATGGAAGCACTGCTAAAAGAAGGTAGAATTTCTTCTTTCAAAGAGAAAGAAGAGTGTCTGTGGGACCATTACCATGTCTCATGTACCCATCTGTAGATCAGGATTGCAAATTTTGGATACACCAGTATGAGCGCAACATCGTTCCCAGATGCCACATGTGGCTCAAGCTTTATGTTGTATAAGAACAGCTGCCTGTCACAGGGCTGAATGCATTTTATATTCAGACTGTAACTGTGCCGAAATGACAGCATCCTAATCATACAGCAGCACCCACAGCTTTCATAATGGGGACGGCCAATCCAAAAGTGTCAGTTAATTTGCATACGTTGACAGTATAGTGTCACAATTAATGACAGCAAAAGTAAAGTAATCAGTAGTATTCTCCAGGTTTGTTTTTTTAAATGCACACAGAGTGATCAAATTAATCTAACAATGAAAAAATTAATTTAAATCTTTGGCTCTGGGGTAGTCAAAATTTGGCTGAAATGGAAGCAAATTGTGGGTCACTCACTCCTACACTGCCAAGTTTCAAAATCAATCTATTGAATCATTTTCCAACTAGGAGCCATAGAACCTGCTCCCCCTCTGATTTGTTAATATAACCCAACTCACTCTTAACATGACTCTGACCCTATAATAGTATAAAATAGTACCAATACTACAGTGCTTCATATGCCCCCACTGTCAGCAGTGCAACAGTGGTGAAACAAGACAGGGTCTTCTCTATGGTGGTACCAAAGTTGTGGAAGCTCAACCTAAGGAAGTTCATTTCATTTACAGTATTATGTATTTTATGTATTATGTATTATTAAAGTAATCTCCAAAGCATATCTGGTCTGCCCTCTTTTCCGTTTCAGCTGCTCTGATCAATGCTGCTGCTAATTCGTTTTTAGAGAATAGCCCATCTCATTTGGTTTTATATTGCTACTGATATTTTGTAAGCTTCTTCAAAACCTTTAGTCAAAAGGCAGGCTACAAATATTTAAATGAATGAATAGTAGTTCACGTGCTAGTACAAGCAAGCTCTTAAGCATGCTAAAATTATATTTGTTAAAAAATGAGTCAGACTTGGTATTTAGAGCAATGTGCTCATTTTTGTAACATGACAACCATATGGCTCCGTTGGGCTGATTTTACATCCCCAATAAAACAGGAAACATCATAAATTGTATAATGGCTTGGGTAAAATGTTCTCCTATGTTTCATTCTGTATCACAGGGCCCTCAATAGCCCTAGAAAGTCTTTTAGTACATGCACCCATCTACTTTCATAGAAATAGTGGTGTTGCTATTAAACGGCACCCCAAAAGAAATGCATTGTTTCAGGTCATGAACAATTAACAATGAGGCATAAAAGAAACTGTGCTGTCCTTATGATACATAGTTTTCCCCTGACCCCAATATATACAACCTGCACCTAGATGGGATTGCAGAGCATTCACTTCCCATGTGGGTCTGACTTCCACATTAAAGGCAGCATAGGATTTGAAGGACAGCAAACAGCATTCCTCAGTCTCTTAGTTCCAGCCTGTCATCACCAGCTCACAGGGAGTTCTGCCCCGCCTTCTCCTTCTCACCGCTGACTCCAAGGACCCCAACCAACCTCAGCCTTTGCCTCTGAGGCAAAGCTGAAACCTTAAACCCGGCCTTTGCCTCTGCCCACTAGCACCCCTTTGCCTGGCAATCTTGTCCTCTGATGGTTTCCTTGATGAGCCACCACTGGCCTTTGTCCCCTACTAATGGCACATCCAGCTAGCTCTGCCCACTGGGCTTGTTAGCATAACTAAATCCAGGGGGTTTCTGTGTTTAGCAGAGTTTATTCAAACCTGGAATGCGCATGGCACTGTGGTCTAAACCACTGAGCCTCTTGGGCTTGCCGACAGGAAGGTCGGTGGTTCGAATCCCCGCAATGGGGTGAGCTCCCGTTGCTCTGTCCCAGCTCCTGCCAACCTAGCAGTTCGAAAGCATGCCAGTGCAAGAAGATAAATAGGTACTGCTGCAGTGGGAAGAGTGTTTCCATGTGCTCTGCTTTCTGTCATAGTGTTCCGTTGCGCCAGAAGCAGCTTAGTCATGCTGGCCACATGACCCGGAAAGCTGTCTGTGGACAAATGCCGGCTCCCTCGGCCTGAAAGTGAGATGAGCGCCGCAACCCCAGAGTCGCCTTTGACTGGACTTAACCGTCCAGGGGTCCTTTACCTTTACCTGTTCAAACCTAGGTTGATTCTAACTTTTACTAAATCATAGCGCATTTAGGGGGAATCTACCCTACACACACACACACACAAACAAACAAACACACACACACACACACACACACACACTGTTAACCAGTTTGCAGCAAAAATATTTCCTCCTTCTTGAGACAAGTTGTCAATAAAATCAAGATAGCATGCTCGTGTACATGTCTTAGATCTAAAGACTCACAGGGTTTCATAAGCTTGGTGAGTTCCTCTGAGCTTCTATGATATACATCTTGGCACTGTCGGTAGATGTAAAAGTTTAATCCTCAAAATTCACTCCACTGCTGGCCCAAGACATTTTACTGCCTGAAGTGCAGCTCAAATAGCAAACGCCTACCTAGGGCTTTTAAAGTCCTTCTGCATCATTCAGACATCAGTTCCTGCGTTCATCTAACAGTTTGAAAGAATTACCAGATACAACCTGTGTGGGTTGTGCTTCCAGGGAAGAACCAGGAACTAAAAAGGGCAATAACCACTTCTGCTAGTTCAGGAGAGCTGGGGGGGACGGAACAGTTCCTGAGATCTCTGTAGAACTTGAAATACAACTTAAGTTGGTTTATAAGGCATAGCTTGTTTGATGCTGTAGCCATAGAGTCTTCAAACACTGCCTGAAAAATGACACTTCACCTTGCTGCAAGACCATACCGTCCAACATTTCTCTGATGAAAATAGGGACGTCTTATTTAACAACAACAACAACAATAACAATAACAATACCCCTCCTATCTGACTGGGTTGCCCCAGCCACTTTGGGTGGCTTTCAACATATATAAAACATTAAACATTAAACAAAACCTTCTGTATACAGGGCTGCATTCATATGTCTTCTAAAGATTGTATACTGTGGTACCTCAGGTTAAGAACTTAATTTGTTCTGGAGGTCTGTCCTTAACCTGAAACTGTTCTTAACCTGAGGTACCACTTTAGCTAATGGGGCCTCCCGCTGCTGCCGTGCCGCTGTCATGCAATTTCTGTTCTCATCCTGAAGCAAAGTTCTTAACCCGAGGTACTATTTCTGGGTTAGCGGAGTCTGTAACCTGAAGCATCTATAACCCGAGGTACCACTGTAGTTACTTATCTCCTTGGCTTGGGGGTCGCAAAGACAGGACTGTCTCTGCACCATCCACTCACAAAAATGCTTTCTAATGGCAATAGTGGAGTTGGTTAATTAAGGGAAGTCTATACAAAATGTTTAATTACACATTCAGTTGTTCATCCAGTTGTTCTTAGGTTTGTATGAATGGTCCACCTTGGCAATAGTGCAGCTTTCATGTTCAGTTTCTTTGAGAACATAGGTTATCTAGCAGTATTTTTTTATGTCTGTTAGAGCTCTCAAATTTATTCTTCTTAAAAATAGGTGTGAAAAGCCACTACATAAATTTACATGAACAATGAAGTGTTTTAAATGAGATGTACGTGTATATTTTGTGGCACTTCCATGTCTGCTTTCTCAGGCTTAATCCTTTTTTATGAAGTCCAAAACATTCACAGACTTCCTCCTGTACATAGAATCGCCACATTAAAGGAACTCACATTTTTCTCTGTGTTTGTAGAAAACATGGAGGTTAGGTAGGTTAATTATTTGGGGGTTCTTAATAGTTTCCTTTTGCTGCAATAATGACACCAGTTTTGGCTTGGAAAGAACAGGAAGGTGACTTTGAGAAAACAGAATCTTTCAACTATATCCCATTAAGCAAAAACAAAAAGCCTACCCAAGAGAACATAAAGACCACAATTTAACTCACAGCCTTGGCATTATCAGCACCATGCTCTAACCAACTGAGCCAGACTGGTACCCGAACTTTTTGAAATCAATGAGTTTGCGCACTTAACAGGGGCCTGGATTGTGTCCAGTGTGTTTTCTGTCACTCAAAACATAACATTCTTCTTAGTGCTACATATATTCTTGATGTTTGTCACTTCTTGTTCTTTTCTTAACATAGTGAAGTCTGCTGTAGCTCACGCTGTCACAGAAAAGCTGTGCTGTCATTCCTGAAAAGAAATCTATTCACCACTGATGTACTATTCCAGAAATGCTACTGAAATATAAAAAAGGCTTTTCAGTCAAAATAAGCCCTTAAGTATTTAGGCTACAATGCAGCCCAATGTCAAGGACTTTAAAGCCCTTTTGTTTTGAACTGACAGAAACCGGGTCTAACAAATGCTTAACGATGACTGAATTGCGGTCCTATTTTATTTAAGCATATAATTTTGCATAATGCATACTGAGACATACGATAAATGCATCTCTGATGTTCACCATTTTCCAATGAACAATGAAAGTTATGAGGGGAGGGTCAGTAGTCAGTCAGTTTTCAAACAGCCTCCATGCTAAATGGCTTTAACGAATTAAGAAAAAAGCAAGGAGAAATTGTGACAATTACTTTTTCAAGGAGAAGGAAGATTGATTACCTAGACTAAGTTCTCAGTTTACCAGCCTAAAAGCTTATCCTTTAACAAACTGTCCCACAAAAAGGCGGGGATTGGATATTGCGGGCTGAGCTGGCAGGAAGATGTTTATAGACATTTCTTTCACAAGCATGCTTAGAAGTCTGAGAAAATTTCAAGCATTTCTTAGTAGGTTGAACCCCTAGGATGTACCCAATTTACTTGAGAGTAAGTCCCATTGAACTCAATGAGACTAACTTTTGAGTAGACATGAACAAACATGTCCCATGTCCCAAACAAGATGCCCCACAGAGCCTCAGAGAGAGGAAGCCAGATCACAGCAGATCTCAATAACCCTACTGGGAAAACATTTTCTACTGGATTTCTGAGGCAGTGTATTATGGTTTTGGTTTTCCCTGCATGGCTAAAACTCCAGGTTATTATCCCCTTAAATTAAAAAAAAACACACTTTGTTTTGCAATAGCAGTTCAGGTTTGTGAATGAAGAAACAATTGCCTTGTGGCCCTACATGCATAGGCACCCTTGTTGCTGTCATGGATCAAACAGAAGGGCCATATTTGAAAGATCCCCAAACCAGAGACCTATCATTACAAAAAAATATTTGTAGTCAGTCACATTCCTCCAGCAGAAGTGGCGAGATTATCCTCCAGACCCCTTGATGTTGGGGGCTTGGCCTGGCAGAAGCCCAGTTCTTTCTTGGTTTCTTCAGTATGAAAGCTAATCCTTTTCAGGCAGAGCTCAGCTGAGGCACATTCATTATGCCTGAGTGAAGGCATGATCCCATTTCCCCTTCCTCAATGACTCTTTGTGGAGAAATCCTTCAAGGAACCATTTAATATGGGAGCCTATTTACCTCAGCTACCTCATTTGGCTGCCGAAATAAATGCAATTCATTCTTTCGAGAGATAAAAAATTTATATTGATTCACACTTTTAAACAGATTTCTTCTTCTTCTTTCACTTCCCACCAATTCCTGCACAATAAGTTAAATTTTACCTCCAGCACATTTTTCTTCTCTTCATTATGCCAATGTACTTTATATCCATTTTCACAGAAGCCCATTTTGATGTCTGCCCTGGCCTACTAGGATAGTATTTTACAATAGACTAAAGGAAGGAATAGAAAATACCCTCTTAACATGAAGAATAGTATAATAAGGCTTAGTAACTGGCAGAGGCTGAGGGTACACTTGTACAATGGTGCTCAGGAAGAGAACTGTGAGAGTGGAACTTAGAGTTTCACAGTCATTTTCATAAAGATCCATAGACTAAATAAATTATATGCTACTATCTTTGCATTATTAATGCTCCATAGTAAGTTAATAAATCTACAAATAAGAGTTTCCATTCTTGCAGTTATTTATAGCTGGGTGAAGGCTGGGGCTGACAACAAATTAAAGAACTCTGCAGTGTAATCCATACCCACTTACTTTGGAGTAGGCATATATAGATTGGTGGCATTAACTGTTTACTCACCTGCCTTTTTAAACTGATTACTCACCAAATTAATTGATGGATTAACAGTGCTATCCTCTATTAATGGCATAAAGCTGGGTGGTTTCTTGAAAACCCAACTATTTTCATATTAATAATCCCAATAATAACAGTAATAGTTCCTGTTTCCTTTACTCCTATGTGCACATAGTAGTTGGGAATTTCCACACAGGACTTTCTGTGTCATTCGTTCTGTACTTTCCGCTAAAGAACCAAATAAAGCTGAACTCTGTAGCTCCACCTTCTGCTGCAACCATCTGTAGAAATGGAGTCTTTGTACATACAGTACATGCAAAGCTTCCATGCAACCTGGAACCCTGTTTGATTGGGTTCTGGATTATGTGGACATTTAGCATGGCTCTGTCACTACAGGGGGCTATGTTGCTGATCTGTGTGCTGGACACAAAACTATTCTTGTGTTAAACAACATGGGAGCTCTATCATCTGAAGAGAGCTATGGATTCCTTGTGCTCTAACATCACCTTGGACAAACAACTTCAAAATTCAGTGCCATGCTCTTGTATCTTATATGTGAACGTGAAGCAAATGTCTGTGCACCTTTTCTTTATTTGCTGTTCCTGTGTGCAGGGATACAAATGAAGTGAAAAGGTGCAGGTGTAGGAATGCTGTGAATATTGGTCATTTTGTGTTCTTGAAGTACAAATAGTATCTTTAGCATATGTACCATTGTGCATAAAGATCTTGAAGAAGCAACAGGGTTGTGAACAATTTTTACGCATCCACCAAAAAAGATGCAGCTGTACAACAAGACATTCAGATTGGTGTTGAATGCAGAATATTCTGAAATGATTATTCATCTATTATATTTATATTCCGCCATTTTTCATTAAGGAGTTCAAGCTGGCATGCATGATTCTCTCCCTCCTCATTTAATCGCCACAACAGCTCTGTGAATTGGTTAGGTGGAGAGGCAGTGACTGGCCTAAGGACACCCAATGAACTGATTGTGGTTTTGAACCCTGATTTCCCAGGTCCTAACCACTATACCACACGGGCACTCTAATTGCTAATATTGAACCAAAACAGAAACAGGGTATCTGTATTTGCAGATAAAAGATCCAAACATGGAGTGCCAATGTTCAGAAAGGTAAAAATACCCATGAAAGTAAAATGGTTAGAGTTTTGTGCATCCTTAGGCACATATTATTCCTGGCAGGCATGTTATTTCATGTAACAAAGAAAGGTCAATAAACAGAGACATCATCATAGAGATTCTCACTGAGACAGGAAGCTTCTACAGAGTTGGATAGAGACATTGATCAAGTTTCATAGTCAATAGAAACAAGCCGCAAGAGGCCTTTGGCACCAGTGTACTTGATTCTTTATTAACTGAGTAAAAATAAAATTGATGTATTTTGGGAAGCTCACCTGTTTTAAAAGGCCCATGTTCCAATGAACAGAACATGATACCTTCAAGAAGCTATTTAGGAAACTCCCAACACTTATGGATAGCATTTCTTAAAATGTGTATTGGGACTGAATCTAAAGAACACAGCAGTTACTTTTACAATAGAGCTGTAGTGCTTTGAGCGGGGGATTCTGAAGGTCTGCGAGCTTGATTGCAATAGTGATTTGTCTTGTGCCAGTGCTAAGCTGATCTGTATCACCTGCATTAGGAACCACTGGAAGCTGCCTTGAACTTTGGTCCAACTAGCTCTGAATTGGTTATGTAGACTTAGCAACATTGCTCCAGGATGTGGCTCAATGGGTCAGTGTGCCTGGCTGTTAAGCTGAAGGTTGGTGGTTTGAGCCTACCCAGGGATGGCTGTGGGCAGGATTCCTGCACTGCAGGGAGTTGGACTAGATGACCCTTCAGACGCCTTCCAACTCTATAACTTCCAACATTTCCTACAGGAGTGTTTCCAAACTTTGCCAGTAGATTCCAAGGAATGAACATGGGGCCTTTTGCATGCAAAAACATTTACTCTGAGCCATGGTCCTTTCCCAAAGAGCTGTTTCAAGGACATGTGTTTTTAAAACTACTCAGTAACAGGGAGGCGAGCTCACAGCTCCCCATAAGGTGGTTTGGGCACAGTGAGGGCAGTTTAATGCTTGAGTCATGTTAAGTTCATGTATGCCACTCATGAAACATTGTAGAAATATATTCTGGGCTGATAGCCACTGAAGTAATTGAATCGAAAGATTCCAAATGGAAAAGGTGTAAGGTTTCACTAAGTATTGGCTGCATTATTTCATTATTAATAAACAAAATAAATTATAATCAAAATAAATTACACATTATTCATATATGTATATATCTCACATATACATTAAATGTAACTACACAGTTAAGGTTGTTGCGACATAACAACATAACTAAGGTTGCCAAGGGGACCATTCCGCATTGGAGGAGCCTTAGCTACAGTGGACATCTGCCCAGGTCCATCCAAGTGGGCACTAAGCTACCTTTTGTGGTTCACCCACTGGTGCTAGCTGGTGGAATGACCATGAAATTGGGTGTTGTGGTGGCAGTGGGAGGTGCTGGAGGCTTGGGGGATCTGTTAGATCAGGCATAGGCAAACTCGGCCCTCCAGATGTTTTGGGACTACAACTCCCATCATCCCTGACCACTGGTCCTGTTAAGTAGGATAGTGGGAGTTGTAGTCCAAAAACATCTGGAGGGCTGAGATTACCTATGCCTGTAGCAGCTAGATTCTAAGCCCTGAACATCCCTCAACAGGCTCAGTCTTCTAGCTCCTAGCTACAACAAGAAAAGGAAAGAAAATGTCCTCACCTTCTCCCTTGGGTGACCTGAGCTGACAGGGCTTCAGATGCAACCAAGAATCTTATTCGCTGTGCCTTCATTGCGATTGCTCTACCTGAACACACTTATGTGGGAGCACGTCTTGAACTCAGTAGGACTTACTTTTG